AACACCTGCGCCTTTATGGCTCTCCTTGGCTCGTACATCAGGGAATACTCGCTCAGCTCAACTGCCCACTTCACCAATCGACCAGAGACCGATGGTCGACCCAATGTTTCTCCCAACGGCATATTCGTTCGCACCTTCACCTTATGATTCAAGAAATACGGTCTCAACTTGCGAGCAGTTACAACCACAGCTAGTGCACACTTCTCGATCTCCGAATACCTCGTCTCTGCTCCTTGCATCACTCTACTCACATAGTAGATAGGGAGTTGCGCCGTTCCCTCCTCTCGCAACAATACCGAACGTACAGCTCTCTCCCCTATGGAAATGTATAGCGCCAGCTCCTCCCCTTGCACAGGTTTGGCCAATAAAGGGAGGTTGGCCAACACCCCTCGCAGCTCCTCAAATGCTTTTTGCGCCTCCTCCGTCCATTGGAACTTCGCGCTCTTCTTTAGGGTTTTGAACAATGGGCCACTCTTCTCCGCCACCTTCGATATAAAACGACTCAGCCCCGCAATTCGACCGGCCAAGATTTGCACCTCTTTCACGTTTGTTGGTGACTTCATCTCCATCACAGCTCGAACCTTCTCCGGATTGACTTCAATACCCCTCTTGGTCACCAGATAGCCTAAAAATTTGCCCGATCTCACCCCGAAAGAGCACTTGGCCGGGTTCAACTTCATCCCATATCTCCGCAACGTCAAGAATGTTTCTTTCAGGTCTCGCACATGGTCGAGTTCCTCCTTACTCTTCACCAACATATCATCCACGTATACCTCCATATTCCTCCCCAGCTGCTCCTTAAAAATCTTATCGACCAACCTTTGATATGTGGCACCCGCATTCTTTAAACCAAACGGCATGACCACATAACAGTAGGTCCCTCGACTAGTCACAAAACTCACCCGCTTCCTGTCTTCTCTAGCCAAGGGAATTTGATGATACCCTTGGGATGCATCCATCAGGCTCAGCAACTCACACCCTGCCGTTGAGTCGACTAGCTGGTCGATTCTGGGCAGTGGGTATAGATCCTTTGGGCACGCCTTATTCAAGTCACGAAAATCAAAGCACATTCTCCATTTTTCTTCCGACTTCGACACCATCACTGTGTTTGATAACCACTCAGGGAATTGAATCTCCTTAATATGCCCTGCTCCCAACAATTTCTCGACCTCCTGCTCGATTATCTTGTCCATCTCCGCTCCATGGTGCCTCCTCTTCTGCTTCACCGGCCTCACGCTGAGGTCGATATTCAGTCGATGTTCAATCACCTCCGCACTTATTCCTGTTAACTCCTCAGCCGTATAGGCAAAAATATCAGCGAACTCCCGTACTAAGTCAATCAGCCTCGACCGAATGGGCTCCTCCAGATCCTTCCCAATTCTAAACTCTCTACCCTCGCATCCCTCGATCATCTGAATTTCCTCAACCTCTCCCCCAGGCTGGATGTCCATCTTCTCCTTGCCCTTGTCCACCTTTTGCTTCTCCTCCTTCGACCTCGATCCTCCTGGTCGATTGACTTCCTCTCCCTTCGACTCAGGCTGTCTTTTCGCCAATTGTTTGTTATTGCTAACTGTTGTCTGGTAGCAGCTTCTTGAAGTAAGCTGATCCCCGGCAATCTCCCCTACGTTTTCGCCCACTGGATATTTGATCGTCATGTGGTACGTGGATACGACCGCCTGGAATGCATTCAAGCTCGTCCGTCCCATGATGATGTTGTAGGACGACTCAGCCCCCACAACTACGAACCTCACCATGCGTACTTTCCTCAGCTCCCCTGATCCCAGCGCCACGGGCAAACTGACCTCCCCCATTGGCATAACTTCTCCTCCATTAAAGCCATAAAGCGCCGTGGCCACCGGTTTCAGTTCCGTATTCAGCTCCTTGTTAATCTGCACAAAACAATCAAAGAACATGACATCCACCGAGTTCCCGGTATCAATGAACACCCTCTTCACATCAAAGCCCGCAACCTCCGCGGTTATGACCAGAGCATCGTTGTGGGGCAAGACCACCCCCTCAGGATCCTCCGCCTTGAAACTTATTACCGGCATGCGCGTTGTAATCCCCACCTCCTCTCTCTTTCTTTTTACTGCTCGAGCATGCTCCTTCCTCGATCTGTTCGAGTCACCATCTGTCGGCCCCCCATAAATCATGTAAATCGTTCCTCTTTTCAGCGGGGCCCCTCCTCCTGGTCCCTCTCTATCTCCCTCCTTTCTCGACCTCTTTCCTCGACCATCACCTCCATCTCCTTCCTCATCTCTATCACTCCTCTCCTCGGAGTCTTCTCTACATCTCCTCCTGCCCTTCCCTTTCACCCGGTCGTGATAGACAAACTCCTTCAGATATCCTGCCCGAATCAGCCTCTCGATCTCATCTTTCAAATGCCTGCAGTTCTCCGTGGTATGGCCGTAATCCTTGTGAAATCGGCAATACAAATCCGACCGGGGCCGATGCGGGCCGGTGAACCTTGTCTTTGGCCAAGTTACGTCCTCAGTCGACATCTTCCGCTCCATGGCCTCGAGCACCTCCATCATATCTTTCCTCAAGGGAGTAAAGTTGTGGTACCTCTGCCTCTCGAACACCATAGGCCTCCTCTGCCATTCATCCCTCTTTTCCCTCTTCGCATCTCCACTCCTCCTTCGAGGAGATGCTCTCCTTTGTTCACTCCTTTTAGGCGAGCTTCTCCTTGGTGAGCTCCCCCTCGGGCGGCTTTGCTCCTTCTTTGGTTCTGGTTGGGACATCCCCTCAAGTTTCGCAAACTCCATCTCCATCTCCTCCAGGTTAATATACTTCCTGCACCGCTTCAGAACATCCTCGTACGATCGAGCCGGGGTCTTTGCCAAAGAAGTTCGGCAAGGCCCTGGTCGAAGACTCCTGATCAATCCTCCCGCTTTTACCTCATCTGAAGCGGAGTGCACTTCCAAACATGTTTTATTATATCGAGAAACATACTTTCTTAGCGACTCTTTCTCCCCCTGCTTCATCGCCATGAGGGTCAAGTAAGTCTTCTCTTGTGCCACTGCGCTCGAATATTGGTTGGTGAGCTTGCTGGCAAGATCTTCGAAATCAGCAATCGATCCCGAAGGCAACTGATGAAACCAGTCAAGCGCTCCTCCGCGTAAGGTCGATAAAAACGCCCTGCAACAAACAGAATCAAAGTATCCATGCAACACTGCCATATTCTCAAAGGTCCTCACATGCCTCGATGGGTCAGATGACCCGTCATACACCAAGTTGGTCTCCTTGAAATTGTTGGGCAGGGGAGCAGCGAGAATCTCCCTTGAGAAGGGATGCCCTCGAGCTCTCCTCTCTGGCCTTCCCTCCACCTTATCTTGCAACTGACGCAATTACTCCGCCATCCTCTCCATGGCCCGATCTCTTCCAGCTCCTCCTTCCCCATAACTAGACACATCCTCGTCTTGGTTCCCCGTTGTTGCTGTCGGCGCAGTGGTGGCGTGCGATGTGTGACTTGTGACCTGCTGCACCGCCTGCGCCGCCGCGGCCGCCGCGATCCTCTGCATCTCTTCCCGGGTCATCGTAACCACTTGCTGGCCCGGGGTTTGTACGGCTACTTGCGGTGGCACTCCTCCTTGTGCCTGCACTCCTCCCTGTGCCTGCACCCCTCCTTGTCGTTGTGTTGGATCTGGTGGTGGTGGTGGCGGCATCGCCGCTGTCGCCGCCAAACGAGCCTCCTGGGCCTGACTGGAGCTGGCACCTCCGCCGGGAACCACCGTCGTCGCCCCTACACCTTGGAAGTTAGGTGCGGGAGTGATCGGAGTCTGCGATGGGCCAGAAAAACCCGGAGGAGGGCCGTGGCCCAACGGCCTGGTCGTCGTCCAAGCCTCGTCGAACGTCGACTGCAAATTTCTAGGGATTCTGTCCGCCATAGCTGAGCTTCAAACACAACTTTTTGAACAAAAATCCCCACAGACGGCGCCAATAATGCAAGTGTAAGCGTCCGGGTCCGGTTTGGAGTAGATCGATTCTTG